CAATTACGCTGCAAAATTTACAGTGCCAAAGTGACCCTGAGACACACAGCACAGGCGAGTAACGCAAATCCCCCTCAGGCTGTTACTGTACTGACGAGTCACTGTGGCTTGTGTCTCACTTAGCATAACACCGACAGCAAACATCTACAGGACCTCCTCACCCACAGGAGCTACAGCTCACAGAAATTCCAGATACGTTAAGGGACACAACTGTAAAAATGGCACAGTAATCCAGTGTTTCTCAAGGGGAGTTTAACACTATTGCAGTGTTTCCCAATCATGGTTCTCGGGACCCACAGATGGTCCACATTTTTGCTCCCTTTCCCTCCCACTTTATATTGGGAGCTGGGAGGGAGCAAAAATGTGGACCGTCTGTGGGCCCCCGAGGACCGGGTTTGTAAACACCGTGCTATTACATGCTATATACTATGAGAAATCTCAGAACACACGTTCAAGTTTTGTTGGCTAAACAGGACAGCGTCCTGATACAGGCAGGAAGCTGATATCCGTTTCCTGTCACTGGAAAGGGGGCGGGGCTTCCAAGGGCCACACAGCTGACACTCGTGCCTCACCCTGCATCATGCTGCGGTAGGCTGTGTCTGTAATGGCGTAGATGTGGGGGGGCATCTCGTGCCTCTTCTTGCCCCTGTACATCTCGACGATCTCCTCGGAGTAGATGGGCAGGTTCCTGTAGGGGTTGATCACCACGCAGAAGAGCCCCGAGTAGGTCTGGAAGAAATTGGAGGACGTTGGGGGGTCAACAACGCCCTGCACGCTCTAAAAGTGCCGCACATTTGTTCACTTCAAATGCACGCGCAATTTCACTGAACCAACAGCCATCTGAGATTTCTCCACGGCTCCTAACGAGAGACTCGACCGGCCAGACCGGACGGGGAGGTTCTGGGCGCAGCGTGGGAAACTCTGGGCGGGACCAGGAGCTCGAACATGCAGCCACAGGAGCCAAAGCGTCACGTGCAGCCGGGACAAGTGCAGCGAAAACCTCCGATAAGGAACAGGTGGAAGAAAGCACAGATTTGGCAAAGGCCAGACCACTATCCTCATCTAATCTGTCACGGGAAGCAAAGTCTCTTGGTAATGGTGAGGATCCTTGGTGAGCCGCCCCACCCTGCCCCACCCTTCTGTTCTTGAAGAACATCTTCTGTTCTTCAAAACAAAATCACCAACATGACCAGACATGACCTGCTGAGGCCACTCTGCCATCATGACATCGAGGGCTTGGCTGACGGCCTGGCTACAGCACGATGTAATAATGTTTATTTTAATGTTGTTATAAGTTTATTTAATATTAAGAGATACATCCAGCTGAAGGAACGAGGAAGTGAATTCAAATACCACTATTACATACTGCTGCAAATATTTCCACAGGTATTTAAAATTATTTAATTAATTTTAATTGGACTTTACAATAGACATGTATGACCTGATTTTATTTACGCTGTTAATCTCCGGCAAGTCAATCACACAGCAGTAACTCGGCATCAGCTACTCCTGGGACAGGATTTGCACTTTTAGGTGAGGTTTATGGGGGTAGGACAGAAGAATTTGCATGGGGGGGGGGGGGTGTTCTGCCAATACACCCGCCACAGGTCAGATTTCATTAAAATGAAATCAGGCACAAGTCAGGCTCCTGCAACAAAGACAGAATTGCTCTAACACCGCAAAGGTCGCAGGTTCAAATCCCAGGGAGCGTACAGAAATTAGTAAGACGTCCCTCTACTGTATGTCACTGTGGATAAAAGCATCAGATAAATTAAAGGGTTTTCTTAAACTATGGCCAGGGCGACCTCATGGGCTCCGGGGAAAGGAGGGGGGGGTAGGCACCCCCCAGTAAGGCTCAGCAGTCAGGCGCGGGGTTGGGAATATCCCTGACCCCGACAGAGCTCCCATAGGTGCTCCGTTCATACAGCCACATCATTTTCCAGGGTAAACGGCAAGGAGACAGCCAGGGGTTAGGGTGGGAGTCATACTGGCAATGATTAAAGAAAGCTAGCAGCGGCTAAAATACTATTAGGCGTCACATTCCAAGAGGAGGGGGCTGGTGCACATATTGTTCTCTGCTCTTTCCTGTTTACAGACTGTAAATGTAGACTACCCCCCACCCACCCACCCACAAACACAAAGTGGGGCACGGTTGCCCTCGACGTGCTCTGAACGAGAGAGACACCGGTGACTGAGCAACCCGAGATCCTGCTTCAGTATCTCCAGCTTCCCGCTTCCACTAATGTGGGAATAATTTGGACAAAAATCTACCGGATGACAATGTATCGGCTGCAGATCTGTACTTGACATGGAATCTGCTGCTGTACCCAAGGTACATAAAAAATAGACAGGAAACCCATAATTCTGCAGCTTTCATGAAAAACATCTGCTGGGAGGACACCTAATTAAAAGCAAACACGCAGCAGGCAGCTGCCTGAGGAAACCCCGCTGGGGGGAGGTGACACTTACGTAGATGAGGCCGGAGTAGTACCTCTCCTTCAGGTTGTGCAGCACGGACGCCTCGTTCAGGCAGGTCAGCTCCGCCATATCCTCCACCTTGCTGAACTTTGGCGGGTTCATCTTCTGGATGTCGTCCTTGTTGACCGTGATCTTCTTGCCGGAGTCGGCCAGCTCCACCACGCACTCATCGCCCCTCTCCTCCTTGATGGATCCGGCCTCAAAGCCCAGCCGCTCCGACGGCACCCATACCAGCTTCTTGGTGGCCCAGTCGGCCTGGACCAGCGGGTTGTTCACCAGATTGCGATCCACGTAGAGGAACTTGTCCGCGTCCGACATGGTTGCCGCTACAGATGGACAAGCAGGGCGAATGGTTAGAAGGTAGCATTAGGGCTCTGATACACTCCGCTGTTTGTTGTCTGTGTAATTACTATTCAGTAAAGTTCTGAGGATACAATTACGCATGTACATTAATCTAAAAACATGATCAAATTACAGAGATTCTCTGTACAAGAATAGCAGGTCGGAGCCAATGAGAGCATTAGCAGTTATTAAACTGTGCTCAAGAGCCATGAGCGACCGCTAAAGGAGCGCACTCAGTGAGCGGTTTTAAAGCGGGAAGAGAGACAAAACGGCAAAGACTTGTTTCAAAATAACATCTACAAGGACACTAACAACCTCAGAGCCAAAACCGTCAAACTCCCGGCAAGCTAGATGCCGCTAACCCTGAATTTAACGAATGTGGTTTTGCATCTTCGATAGCTGCAGAATGGCCAATAGCTACTACAACAATTTCACAGCAAAAATCAGCGGCACGGGGGTGAATGCACCTTAATATCAAGCACCGGCCAGGCAGCGTGCTGATGCTAATGCTAATAGGCTAGGAGTCCCAGAGCGAGGAGCAGACCCAGGGTTCCGGTAAGACCCAAGCAGCGCTGGGAGACTCGGTTGCGGCAGCATTCTTCACACGACTCATGTGACCCCCCCCACAGCTGACTTTCATCACTGTGCCTCCCACCCCAACCAGACTGGGACACCCGCATTCCCTGCAGTGGAGCACGGCGTACTCAATGTCTCGTTAGTCTGAATCACGAATCCCACCATGACCACTAGCCACCCCCAACCTAGAAACCTTTGCCCACCCCCACTTTTCCCTCCCCCTTTTCTGTGTTTATCCAGGCCTCCAGGGCCACATTCCTCCCATACCCACTGATTATCAGAAAGGAATTCCACAACCCCCCCCCCCAAAAAGTCGTTTTCCTGATCTACTCCAGGCTCGGTCATTCCCCTCCCTTTCGCTCACGTTACACCCCCCAAGAGGCTTAAACCCTCACATAACAGCGTCATCCTTTGCTCCAACAACCCACTTGAGCAAAGTATCCCCCCCCCTATGTTTGCTGGGGCTCTGTGTCACTACTTAACTTCTGCTGGGACATATCAAACCACTATCACAACCATACCAGCCCAGCGTCCTGTTAACTCTTCAGAATCCCATGCTTCTCACTCGAAGGACACTTCGGGGTATCGCAGTAGTTTCGCAAGTGCGCGCCTGGTCTCTGGTATATTTGGAATTACTAGGAGACTCAAGATCAAAAACACATTTGTTCATGCACACTTCCAGTCATAGAAGCAAAATAAGAACAAACAGCTTTAAATGGTAACATCAGGTTAAGCAAAGAGTCATTCCACACGGCAATCAAGGCCTGCAAACATGACTCAAACAAGGATTATTCCTGACGTCAAAGCAAAATCAGAGGCTGGCTGGTGCCAAACTGAACAAGCCAAATGCAAAAACCCATTTTGCAAAGCCTTCAACCTTCCTAGGAAGAAAACGGGCAAATATTTTAAGGATTACCGTTCTAAAGAGGTGACTTATAGACGACTGTCCTGAGGTGGCATCTGCAGAAACACTGTCAGACCAAACAGTGAGTGCCAGTCGGGAACTAGAAATCTGAGATTATAATGTCAGCAAGCTCATTTCTGGAAGGTAGTGAGAACGGGACAGCCACGACGGCAGGAAGTCAGACAGGTTGAAACCAGAGCAGAGGCTCCTGCTGCAGTTAACGAGCCATAGAGCCTCGTTAAGAGCTATCCCCTCAGCAAACGTGTTTTGCACACAGGAGGGGGCCGCCTGACTTCATAAGACGTTTTAGTGAGCTACAGCAAAGACGGTACGGCTCCTTTATTAATGCGCTCTCCTTCCGCTTCGGGTACCAGCAGGAAGATCATATAGATCTGATAGCTTTTCATATGTGCAATATGCACAATACACAACCGGTGCTTTGAAGTCTACATGCCAAAGGTATTCAACTGCCTTAAAGTTTTATTAATTTTCATTGTTTTTCCACTCAAATTGCTTACTCCTCTATGCTGCAGCAGTGACCCAAGCCGCTGAGAAAAAAAAAATGCAGACCGATGTTTCTCCAGCCGAAAATTGGCCTTTTGAGAGACATGCAACGCCTCTCCGCAAGCGACGCATCAGCAATACATCCCTTCTGCCATGGGTAATATGATCGATTTTTCCATCCTATCAGTCTCTTTCTTCAGGGTTCTGGGGGACAAGCCTAGCAATATCAGCCGCTCTTCCTGGGCAAAGGTCATTGGTCAAAGGTCAGGGGTATCACAGCCACGGCTTCAGAGACAATAGCCCTTTTTTTAAAGAGCTTTCAGCTTGTGAAACAGGAGCAACTCGAATGCCTCAGTCAGTAACTTGTGCTCCATTAATATCAAAACCAAAAGAAAAGCTTCATTTCCAAAGCCATCTCTTTACCACCTTTGCACACTGAAAACATCCCTAAAAATACCCCTTTATCAGGTGAGTATTGCCTGGAAACAGTACAACAAACAAACTGCTGAATGTCTGATAGAATGAGCCAGTTTATGGTATTTCCCCTCAGGCAGAACGATACAAAGGTCACAGCACTAAAGCAATATAGGCTGGGTAATATTAACAGTATGAAACTACTTCTGCGCGCGCGCGCACACACACACACACACACACACACACACACACACACAGGTGTGTAGGTCACACACCCTAACAACATCTTTGTGTGGACAAAATAAACGCCCGATAGCAAGTCAAATCTTGGAATGCAGCACAGCACCAGGATGGCTAATATAACAAATGGCTTTACCTAAATAAAAACCAAAAAAGGGACACAAGACTGACGCGTAAACACAGAGCTTTTGGGCGAAAACCACAGCAGGAAGTTACATCATGTCACAGGACTCCATCGCTTACATTGGTGATTATGCCCGGACAAGGTGCAGCGTCATGCTGCGAGGAGAACAGCGTTAGCTATTCCGAGGGAACACTGCAGACTCCTCCCCCCCCCACTTCCATCTCCTGTTCTTAGGCTTTACCCACAATGCAACAGCTTCCTGGCATTGTAGGCTTCCTGAAACCAGTGCAGGTGTGCTCACTTGGGGGTGGGGGGAGGGGCGATGTCCGACGGCCAGGGAGAGTTAGCTTAGCATGGCTCAGGAACTTGAATTGGGTGTAAAATTTCACTTGGAAGCAACTATGTCGTTATGCCTTTTTTGCTTAACAGGGAGTGCAGAACTCCAACATCTGGCCATAAACAGCTTATGTATACAGCTAACCCAGGGACTGTTCCAGAACAAAAGGCAACAGCGAAGCAACAGCGAGCGAGACACGGACGCGAAATGAGAAGCACGAAGCAAACATTTGCCAGCTGCCCCAAGCAGACGTGCATCACGCCAAATAAAGAAGATTCATAAAACAAATAAAAGAAAAAAAATTCATAGCATCTGAAGGGCGGATATCGGAGTCGTGCAAACATGACCGTTCACGAAGCACGTTTAAGATGAGGCTCAGGGTAAACTTCAACAGGTACGAGACACATACACTGAATAACTGATCAATGCATTGAGCAGCTGCTTTTTTTGAATCGGGTAACCTTCCGGGACAACAGAAACTCATGAGGCGTCTGCTTTGTGGCAGGGTGCTGTAGGTCGTGCGAAACCCACTGACCGCATGCTTCGTTTCACATTTACAGACAAAAAAAAAAAAAATCCACTGCTCAATAATTAACATACCATCACAAAGGTGCTTAAAACGGGGCGTATTCTGGGAACCACAAGTAACATCTGATCTTCAGTGGATTTTTTTTTCCGCCCTACAACTAGTGATGTGTCTTCACACGCCTAAGGGCAGAACGAGGACGAGGGGACTGACACACTACATGACTAACAGGGACACAGCTGTCAGTAATCTGAAGAAAAAGAACAAAAAAAACTACGTGCAAGTTGTGCAACTCCAACTAACTTGTTAAACTTGACGATGGACTGAACCGACTATTATTCAGAGCACAAAGAAAAACTTGGAGATGTGGAGCAGAGCAGCCTTAACATTATTTTTATAAAGGAATTCTTGTACAGAGGATGGTAAGATTCCGTCTACACAATAGATTACACAAACGTAGTGTAAAGATGAACACTTTCACGGTGCACCCTGTTGGCCAAAACTGACCTGAACGAAGGGGGCGGATTATTTCAGACACCCACCGTTACGGTGCAACTGACCGCCACAAGCCGAAATGAGTCAGTGACTAAGACGGACCTTGGCTGAGGAGGAAATTATGAAAGACCGCCTTAGTCACAGTGTAAGATGTGGACCTCGGCCCTGTACCTTCTCTGGCCCAGCTGCAGGAGCTCAACCAGCCCGCTTTTTAACGTTATGCTTTCCCAGAACACGGCAGGTTGCCCAGCGACCTCCAACCAGGAAAAAGTGATTTGCTGCTAGAACATACTGCCATGTGGACAAACTGCAATAGTACTGCACACCGCCAGTGGTAAAACCCAGACTGACATTCCATACTGTAAGCACACTCTTGGCAACTATCTGTAATCCAAAGATGTTTGGATATCAAATGATGTGCGTGGCATTTAATAACACGGACCTGCATTTCAAAAAATGCCAGCTGTATCCTTGAGCGAAAGCGGCTAACTTTAATTGCTTCAATAAAATTCCCAGGATAAATAGACAAAAAAGTAGGTAACTTTGGAAATAAGGATTCACCAGGAAAATGAAGAACTAGCCTGTTATTATCAGAAATATTCACAAATATCAGAATTGTATTATGACATGATTTCATTCACCTGGCTGGATAAAATGAGAAGTACCTAAGTTTCTAAAATAACAAAAACTAGTTGAATGACTTTGCGCCGCAGAGGTAACATTAGGGACTCGGAGCGGGAAATGCGACGGTATGAAGGTGAGGCGTCAAAGCCGAAATCTACCGCAAAGCCACGGCCTCGATGCGAGCCGGTGACTCGTGGCTGCAGCGTACAGATCCAGAGCCGGACGCTGCCACAGCTCCTCCCTCCCGGGCAATGCCGTATTTAACCTCCCGACTAAGAAGGGCAGGGTGTGTCGCAGTGTGGCCCAGCTTATGGGCGTGGAGCACCAGGGAAAAGAAAAGCGTAACGCAGACACAAAGAACCAAAGAAAAGAAGTCAGAGAAATTACTAAATATCCTGGCTTCAAAAACCTAAGCAACTCACCATGTTTAACTTGTATGTTACAGAATCCCTACTACTGAAATCATACATGAAAAAGAACAACAATCTTCCAACAGTGACCAAGAAGACATACTTCTCATCAAAAGCAAAAGAAAAAAGTGCTCTTAAGTAAAGCCAGCCTAATGATCTGTAATTGTTTGTCCTGGAGGTTGATATGATCAAAATTAGGGCGTGCGCGCATTCCCGAAAGCCGGTTTCCTTTTGGGGCATGGAGTCAAGGAAGGGAGAAACCACAACGTACCAGCCAAAAAATATGCTGAATGCGACATTTGCAGTTCGGTAACTGTCTGTTAAACCTCAATAAAATACAATTTGACACCAATAATGAATAATTTTTTGCTCTGAGGCCTATTTAAGTCAAATTTATATTTTTCCTGTACTGTAAACATCAGAGCAGAATATACATTATATATGTGTGTGTGTGTGTGTGTGTATGTGTATATATATATATATATATATATATATATATATATATATATATATA